GAGAGAGAGAGAGAGAGAGAGAGAGAGAGAGAGAGAGAGAGAGAGAGAGAGAATCGTCGGGCGCGAGATGAATCCCGGACGCGAATTCGCGAGGGAAATGAGAGGATCTGAGGCTCTATTCTGGGCGCACAGTGAACGTCAAGTATGTCCTTTTAATTCCAAGTTCGTGTACAACGCTGTTTCGCTTTGACAAGTAAAAAGGACACGGAGAAAATATTGTGGAAGGATTACAAGATTTCTGTAATTCTGGACATATTCTGGATATAATAATTGCGACCGATATTATTATGTATTTGCGATTATAAAAGCTAAAGCTTCTTTTACACGTTTAAGAATGTAAGTTATAATTCGTTTAAACGTATTAAATGACGCGACTTAAAACAGTACGAAATATGGACTAATAATACTTGGATTTGCAGTGATGACGTGAGAAAAGAGATTCAAAGGATTAGGAATTCCGCAGATCAAAGGTACGGTCGGCTCGATTCTCTTTCGCGGAGAGTCCCTTCTCCATGGTGATATGCGAGGGTATTACTCACCTCTACTAGAACGCCTTTAAAATTCTGACTCATCGTCACGCTGCCCAATTTCACGCAGAAGTCGCCGATCTCGAAGCGCGGCCCCTTCGATTCGATTTTCGTTTGCTTTTTGCTGGTGTAGATGGTCGGCATTTTCATCATCAGCAGGTCGAACAAGCCGTCTGCTATCAATGGCACCATCTTGTTACCGGACTCGAGGATCGCGAAAACCGAAGCGGGTTGCTCCGAATTGTGCAGCACGTGTACGGTCCTTTGGATACCTGCAAAATCACACGGACGTCCCACGTTTCATTTCTCCTTTCGCACAACTTAAATGCCGAACGGGAGACTTGAACAATGACGAGATACTTCACATCAATCACAGCGATAATTAAAGCCAAAAGCTGAACTTGAAACGAAGAAAGAGTCAAATTAAATAAATATATAATGTTTATGCGTTCTTCAAGACGTTTGGCTGTTATTTGCTTTTCTCTTCCCTTATTTTCTTCCCGTTACAATTATGAGGCAAAGAACGCTTCGACCGAAACGTTCTCGACACGAAATTTTCCCTCGTCCTCGTTCACAGGCGACAATCGACGTGCAACTCCATTTCACATAATTATACACAGACAGCCGAGGGTTGATCCTCGGCAGGCGTTCACTCAGGTTCACGCACAAATGGCGACTAACGCCTCTTCTAATTCGGCTTCTATGCAGCGACGAGGGAAAATTGCAGTCGAAAGGCAATTGCTTGAGCGCACACGCGAGAGAGAACAGAAGAGAAGGCCTTTGGTGGCGTGCGCGGGACTATATCGCGGTCGCGGCGAAAGCCCAATATGCACGTATAACGTCGAGAGAGCGGTAAAGTCGGACGTAACTTAAACTTCAACCCCCGCCGCCACCCCCCCCGCCACCGTCGTCGTCGTCGTCCTCGTCGAAGTTGCAACGCGCGCGGTCGCGCGCCGTCAACTCGCATCGAATCCGTGCGCAACGGCGAGAAAACTAGTCGAGAGATTGTCGTACGAGATCGACGAGAAGGTTGCCGTCGATCTCGGCGAACTCGGTGTCACGCGAATAATCGTGCTTAACCGTCCGCATACAGTCATATTTTTTGGAATGTATAATCTGGATCTGTCAGGCTCAGCACCATCATATAACTTTGTTGAAGATCAATATTTTCGGACACACTTTCTCCTCAAAGATGCGGAAAAGCCCCAGCTATAAGACAGCAGCGCAATAAAATCAGGATCTGCAAACAGATCTTTCGAAAATTTTCAAGATTCCTTTGCGAAAGTTGCACTGAGAGAAGATATTTAACATTTGTAACTATAATCACACAGGAAAATAATTTATATAAACTATATTAATAAATTGGCGAATAAACATTTTTTTATTAAATTCCATTATATAATGTTAGTGAGAATAATCTTGCATGTATTACTATTACCATTTTCGTGTACACTGTAAAAATTGTGTGATGTATTAAATTTAACATTTCATGTGTCCCAAATCATCCACTCTCATTTATATGTAAATTTAACACAAAACAAATGTGATAAAAAGTAACACGCATAATATGGAAAAAATTAACACAAGAATTTAACACTTGAATACGGTCAGAAATTACAGTTTGCGTTAAATTGACATATGTATAATGTTAAATTAACTAAAATAAAATGTTACTTTAACATTTGAGAGAAGTATTAATCTATGGTTTTGATGGAATGAAAACATTAAATTGACATAATCTATGTCTGACTTATTAAATATGTCAATTTAACACAACCTGTGATTCCTAACGGTATTCAAGTGTTAAATTCTTGTGTTAATTTTTTTCATATTACGCGTGTTATTTTTTAACACATTTGTTTTGTGTCAAATTTACACATAAATGAGAGTGGATGATTTGGGATGCATGAAATGTGTTAAATTTAACACGTCAGTGTTTACAGTGTAAGAACAACTAAAAAATATAATTAGGACCAAAGATGATTGGATCAACCACGTTTTTCTTTCGGTGAGCGATTGAATATTTGTTTGAGTTGCAGAGATCCAATATTGCATGAGAATTAATATACGCGAGTAATATCCGGATTAATTATCGGGAATTAGCGTTACGGCTCGATTGCGACTCATCTCGGCGAAATAACGCGACATACGCAGCAACTCGTCGTTGCTTGCGCGGGTTAGGGGGAAAAACGAAAGAGAAGGAAAATCGTGTCAGACTCATGACGATACGCGGTCGCGATATCGCCACGCGTTATTGTTCGCTGTTCATCCTTGCACGAGAAGCAGAAACGCGCGAAAGTTAAAGTAAGTTATAATTTACGACGTGTGAACTCTCCTGAATATTCATAATTCGTCGTCCGCGGCGCGCAGCTCACGCGGCTCGTCCGCACGTAATGGCAGGGCATGCGTTGAGCCCTCTAACGTATGAATAATTTATCCGCCAAATTATAACGCGGCCTTTTAGCGCGCTCATCGAATGACACAATTTTTCATCACGGCGCGAACCACCCGTGGACAGTTTTATGCGCTTTAATTTCGGGTTGCCCGCGGACGTTCTTATCGTCACTCCAGTGATAACTGATCTAAGCTGCCTTCAGCTGCTCGAGGATGTGTCCTCCTGTCGTGTGTCTACAACATCGAGCTCGAGTTGAAACGACGAATGCAATTTTAACGATCGCGACACAGTCGATTATCGTCGATTATCGTCGTTTGCCGTCGATTGCCGTCGAAGTCAACCGGCAAAAACGCGATCCCAGTTCAGCATTAACATTTTACACTCATGCATTACATATGTGATACGAACGATCATCCAGCCGGCGTCGCAAATCCAATATGTGTTTTTTGTGCTAACATGCGAACTGATAGTTAAATCGCGTGTTTGTCTTTATTTTTCCTTCCACTTGGACAAAGACTGATTTAACTATCAGTTAACTTACCAAGAGGTTGAAACAAATAGCTCTAAGACGTGTAAGTTATAATTTACACAATACATTCGAATGAGTACTTGAGTACAGAAGCGTGTAAGAAGAAATTCGGCTAAAATAACACACTTGTATCTGCAGGGCGAGAGCGACGATTCTGTACACGAGGATCTGAGCAGCTTTGCGCGCGTTTCGCATACGTGGCTGCTGCAAAACAGTGAAACGCATACATCTCATTCGCGCCCGAACGGTCGCAGATTACCGAACGACCGGATTATCCCCCGGCTCGATGGTCCCCCTCTTCGCCCGCGCCCTTCGACCACCCACCCGCCCACCCACCTATCCACCCTCGGCTCTGCAATTTGCACCAACGATCGTACGGTCCTGTGACGCGCCGCATGCCGCATACCGCATCGTCTGCATCGCACGTATGCGCCGTTACGCGGATGCACCGCTGCCGCAGGAGCCGCAAGCGGCGCGAAGCCGCCGCCGTCGGCGATCGCGCGAGAAAAACGGAGAAAACAAAAAGACAAGGTGGCGAGAAGGAGGAGAGAATCATCGCACGCAATTATGCGAGACGTGCCGAAAGCGTCGGACACCTCTCTTTTTCTCTTTTGTCCGCGGGGAACAAATGTCTAATAAATAAAACATTTTTTTCGGTAGGTACTAATAACAGATTATTTACATCAATGTAAAGTGTGTTTCGCATGAATAAATGTATATTTTTCTAAAACTTCAACTTTGCGTGAAAGCTATTCCACATTTAAATAAGAGAATCGAAGCGAATGTATTTATTCACCAAATAAATGATAGACTTATATATGACGCAAACTTTGTAGCGCAACTTTAAGTATGTTAAGTGACGAAATTTAGCAACGTTGTGTTCTATATGACTGATCAGATCGCGATTATATTTAGCACATAGAGTGACAAGAAATATGAAAGAAATAATCGTTCGCTCAAAACACAATATGTTATGTTATAACATGAAAATCTAGGTGTGACTTATTGCTACCACAACGAAAGTTTTATATTATCGTATGATGTAAATTTAACAATTAATTTAATAAATATATTTACTTTATAAACATAAAAGAATTTGGATCTCCTGAATATCACCGATTTCTTTAATTGCACAGACGAAAAACAAGTACGAGGGTGGTCTGAAAAGTTTCCGACCTCAACGTGAAGATAGCAGCACTTGTAAATAAAAGCTAGTGAATTTCGTTGTTCATCTGTTGACAGTTACTCACCGAAGTTTCAGCCATTTTGGACTCGCAGTTGTTATGTAACAGTCGTTTGAGTAAGTTGATGTGAGTGTTTTTGTGAAAATGGACAAAATCGAGTATCGAGCTGTCATTAAATATTTGTTTTTGAAAGGCAATACGCCTACGCAAATCAAAGATGAGTTGGATTCTGTGTATGGGGACTCTGCACCATCATTTACGACAGTGAAATTTTGGGCCGCT